ATTTCCACCCCTTTTGGAGAGGGGGGAGTGTGTCTTATAGTCCCAAAAATATGGTATATGCTGGAAGTGGCTGGTACAGTGACTAGAGAAGGCACCCTCTTTTCTCCTCTCTAAACTCATTATCTTTTACTCTGTATGTAACCTTTTGTAATTTTCTTACTATATTGTTAGCAACCCAGAATTACCCCAAACAGTGAGATGAGTGGCATATAAATTCAATCAATCAATCCTGAAGGGGAGTCTAAATTAATAAGGCAGGGGGCAGGCTGGCCAATTTCTATCATTGCTGAATAGAAGCCCTAGAGTTATTTTTGTAATTGTATCTCAAGCATGTAAGTATGTACTAGAAGAAATTTGGAAGAAATTATATAACCAACCTGTTTTTACATGGGATTCTTCAAGAAAATCCTCATCTACCTTTGTCTTTTGTTTATCTTCAACTATTGGTATTTTTTCTGAACTTGGTAGAAAAGCAGGTTGCCTTTCAGGAGTATAATCTGCAGTATGCTTTGTGTCCAACAACTTAGCTTCTGGAGGCTTGTTTTTTTCTTTGACAAGAGCTGCTTTTTGTTTCATTCTTGAGAAGATTTTTGCTGGAGATTCATGGGATAATGGTTCACAAGCTTTACGTTTTTGAACGGCACTCCTTGACATATGTTTAGTTTTCTGACATGAAGAAATCCTTCCCAGCATTCCTTCAGATGCTTTTATTTCACTGATGTCAAAGAATTCTTGTATATGCGCATTGCTAGATATTAAAGTGGATTGGAAAACCTCTATGCCTTTAGTCTCTTGGCCCGAGCAAACATTATGGCAACTAAGAACCATTGAAGGAGGAATTTTAGCTGACTTCAAAGTACAATTCCCCTGGAATTTTACAAAATCCTTTAAAGGTGTACCACCAGGGATACTTTGTAAAGAAACTGCTTTCAATGACATTTTTTCTTTCCTGTTAAAATTCTTCAATTTTCAAAAAATACAGCATCTGCAAAAACAAAATCTCTTTATAATACATGCTTTTTTAAACTAAAAAATGTCTTATATCTGCAAATATAAATTTCAATTTTTACATTTTTATTTTAAAAAGGTATAACACAAATTCTGTGATACCCCATACTAAATGCATTTAAATTCCCTAAATTATGTAATACTTAAATTATAAATGACATATAATACCATATAATGACACTTTATGTAACACTATATACAATTTAAATCCCTAGTGAAATTTTGAAAATTTAATTATAAAATATTAAAGGACATTTTCTTTCTGATAATTTAAGGCTATTGCATCATAGAAATTGCACCAGAATTATATGAGTCAGCAATCAGTCCATAGAAGTGTTGAATATATAATGTATGATGTAACATTGGCATGTCCAACATGAGGCCCATGGAGAGCTAGTAATGTGGCCCCACAAGATTGTAAACTTTTATATACATTAATTATATTATATATTTTATATGCAGTCCAAAAAATTCCTCTTCACTCAATGCAGCCCACACAAGCCAAAATGTTGGGTGCCCATGATGTAAAGAATACTAATTTTGTCTGCAAAATTCAAGAAAAGTAACAGATATTTGTACTTTACCAGCATAAACAAATCATCAGGCACTTTAGCAAACCCAAATGAAGTTAATTATATTTATTTCAAAGTTACTGAAAATTACTTAAAAAATCAGGAGGAAACTCATGGCACTTTTTCAAAGTAAGGAATTAAATTAAAAGACATAGGCTTTTCTGAGCTCTACCATTTTTCTTCTGATATTTGTCTACGCTAGGCTAAAATACCTCCTTATACAAAGAGGCCGCACCAAAGCTGCAGTTCTTCCACAGAGCAAGAGCGGTATCATGTTTGTTCCTTTTTAGGATCACATATAAATTTTTTTGAGAAGGTGAGTCCACTAAATGGGTGGAGCCATATCATATACAGGTAGTCCTTGGCTTACAACAGCTCATTTAGTGACCATTCAAAGTTACAACTGTACTGAAAAAAAGTGACTTATGACCGTTTTTCATAATTATGACCTTTGTAGCATCCTCATGGTCAAAATTCAGATGCTTGGCA